ACCTTATTTTTTGGCGATCCATATTTTTTATTTGATTTTTTCCTCTGACTTTTTGAAATAACCAATGTATTGGTTTGCCGATATTTTTTTGAAATAACTGATGTTTTGGTCCATCCGACTTTTTGAAATAACCGATGTTTTGGTTTGCCGATATTTTATTATCCCCCGACTTGATTCGTATTTTTTATCTGATTTTTTCCGCCGACTTTTTGAAATAACTGATGTTTTAGTTTGTCGATATTTCTTTGAAATAACTAATGTTTTGGTTTGCCTATATTTTATTATCCCCGACTTGCTAAAACCAATGTTTGAAAACGTATTTTTTATCCGATTGTCTCCTCCAACTTTTTGAAATAACCGATGTTTTGGCTTGCTAATATTTTTTTGAAATAACCAATGCTTTGGTTTGCCGATATTTTATTATCCTTGAATTGCTAAAACCAATGTTTGAAAAATTGGTGACATAATCTGGAATCGGGTATCGGCTCAACCTTTCCGGGTTTAGATCTAAGCAAAAATCATGATTCGACGATTTTCCCGTACGGACTTGAATGCTAATGTCATGACATGGCAAGCGTCAGGTGTGTCTTATAAGAGAACTGGACACATCACCATTTCACTAGGGTACTCTTGAAATTTCTTTAAAAATAATGGACACAAGCCCACGTTCAATACACGCACGCACAACACTCCATTTAACGCACTGGTTAAGTAGATTCTTTGATGCGGGACAGAGTCCCATTTACTACCATCGTCGAATATTCATGCTAGCTATTATCTTCCTCTTCTTTTTTTTTTTAATATTAACGTATGACTTATCATTAATTCATATGTAAAATACAACATGTTTAAGCAAAGATACAAGATCACAGAAATGAAGTAACCAACAGAGAGGGAGTAAGGACTCCTCCTTTGACAAGAACATTGGCAACTTCATTCTCCTCTTTATAACAATGTTGGACTATTGCCATAAAGGTTGATAAAATATCCCAAATTTGATGAAAAATAATCCTTAATCTCCCAGGAATATGGGCATTTCTCTTACTCCAAGCAATGACATTTGTCGAATCTCATTCTATAATCCTGCCCCCTTCCAAAATGCATAGCAATTTCAAACCTTCTAATAAACCTCGTGTTTCCGCCTTAATTGCTATTGTGATACCACAAGGATCCGAGTAAGAAAATATAATGTGGCCCAAATTATTTCTGATGAGTCTACCATAGCCAGCTGGTCATCGATTGCCAAGTGAACTTCCATCAAAATTAAGTTTGAAGAAATTCACTGGTTGTGGTATCCAAACAACCTCATTATATGAGTGTTGGTGGTAATACCCATAGTCGCCACTGCCAGGGATAGCTAATGATAAGACTTTTAGGAATAAATCCATTATCCTTATGTGCAAGGAACCAATCAGTTGCAACTGCCAAAATATTCAATTTTAATGTAGACAGATCTATACTTATACTATCAAATACTATTTTATTTATTTCTTTCCACAAATTCCAAAGAAGGCTAACCAAAATAGATCTCCAAAGAATAGTTCCCATCTTTGAAATATCTAGTGTGATCCATTGGTTAAGAATAGCTCTGACATTTTGGGGCAAAGGTAATGACATATTGAGGCACTACGGAGTCCAATCCTAAAAATATGCAACAAAGAGGCATAAGAGGAAAAGATGCTATGAAGTTTCATAAGTGGCTTTGCATAGGATACATACATTGGTGATAATAGACCCCTACTTTCTCAAGTTGTCAACAATTGTCAATTTATCTTGACACATGATCCATAAGAATAGTTGTACTTTAAGAGGCACATGCGGTTTCTTAATCTTGAATAAACCAACATCTAAGTCTCTTCAACGTTCATAAAATAATATATTGTAGGTTGATTTAACTGAAAAATCTTTCAAAATGGTAAGATCCCAAATAAAGCTATCATCCATATTTAGAGTCAAATATGTATCATTCAATAATTATAACAATATATGATACTCCTCAATAAATCCGTATGTACCTCTCATGTACCTACAAGGAATGGACCAAACAATATTAGTATAAACACCCCTACTAACCTCCTTGAAAGATGGTAGTGGGTTTAAAGCTTTTGAGAAAACTTCAGGGAAAAATGCATCTCAACCAATCATCTCCAATCCATTTGTCAAAACAAAAGAGAGTAGATTATCCATTCCCCACTATTTTTCAAAATTGTTGTAGATACACAGCTAGCTATTGTCTTCCTCTTTCCCTTACACCGCCCAATTCGCGTCTCCCTCTCTCTCCCTAGCAACCCGCTATTAGCGTTCTCTCTCTCTAATATAACTTTTTTAGTTATCATATTGACTATCTTTTCTTTTTTTTTTACAATCATCATATCTATCTTTTTTTTTTTTTTACAATCATCATATTTACTGCATTAATATATGATGCTTTTTATTAAGATGGATCACTTAGATATAAGAAATAGTACATTAACATATTATCATTATATATAAATAACATAAATATTGTAAACTAGTAATTAATTATCTATATGTTGATTATGCTGATTTGTTTTCTTAAAAAAAATTTATCTTAATGATAGTACATTAAAAATTATACATTAATAGCCTTGTCATTGGTCATCTATGGTTTGTGATGAGTAATCACGACACTAATAGTGCGGTGGTGCCATGGCCATCAATTGGAACATCACGATTATAATAGCACTATAAATGGCTCTATGGGGAAAAAATATAAATCATAGTCTAAGTGGGTATGGACATAAATTTTAAAAAATTTGGATATGTTTCAAATTGTTTGGAAAAAAAAAATTATTTTGATAATTAGCCTTGTTATATGACTGAGATATTAATTCAAATTTTCCCAAAATTCCACTTGATATTCTACGAAAGTCCTACATAATTTAAAATGGCAACTAAAAAGAGTATATACCTCTCATTATAATATTAGTAAGTTCCTAATTTCATTGAATTCCTTGATCTCTTGATTTAAATCACTTTCTTCCACAACTTTTCCGATGAACCCATCCATTACTTTTTTTCGTGGAACCCTTTTGTATCGGCAGCTGACAACATCCGCTCCCAAAACACCAAATCAAAAGCAAAAGTTAAGAAAAAAGGAATCGTTGGGAAAATATTATCTTTATCATTTGTTTGAAAATTGGATCATTTCAAATTTTTTTTGGTGATTCCCAAGTCGGGTCGAGCTACGATTAATAATCTTTTTTTCAAAAAATATAAAATTGGGAGAATCGTGTCGATTCTGGAGTTCCACGGACCGAAAACATCTAATACCATCTGAATACCACTCGAGAGATATAGAGTTAGGGTTGTCAATGGGCTAGGTGGCCCAACCTGGCATGGTCGGCCAAACACTAAAAATCTAGGATCTGGACCATGCTTGAAGGCTAGGCCTAGGCCGCGATTATGTTATATTTAATTTGCTCTTGATTTATTTATATTTCATCTGCCCTGCCCATCCTAACATTGATAGGGCAAGGGCTTTTTTGTCCCGTCAGTCTAGATGGGCCGGTCCTATAGAGACTAGGCTAGCCTAGGGCTACCTTAGGCTTAGGCTGCAGGCCTACATCCTCCCATATATGTTTGCAAGTGAGATAGTTATCTATTCAACATTGTCGCATATCTTTTCTGGAGACCATTAAATCGACCGTTTTGCTCCCAAGTCCTTGAACTTATGACATCTTGTTTCTATAGTGGACAAATTCATTGATATACTACCAAGCCATTTTTTATTGACATAATAGCACCGAGCCTTTATTGCAACTTATGCTACTGGGTTAGCTGATTTATCTTTCATACCTACTATAAGAAGTGCTTTCCTCTACTTGCCCTATAAAAACTAAAGGAAAAAGTTTATATAAGGATGCAACCTTATAATGTAGAACTTCAGATGCACCTCAAAAATCAATTGAAAAAGGTAGTTTTAATGTTGAAAAACCCTTTGATTGATCATGATGTATGACCATGAAAAATAGAAAGATTTTAGGTCTCAGAAATAGTGCATTTTATCTACACCGTCAAATTTTAAAATTTTCATATGTTTATAGATCTACTTGATTTTAACCATTTTTAAAATTTAAAATTTTATAATTAGATATAAAAATAGATAATGAGATAATCCTAAAAACATTTTACATCAAAATTATATACCATGATAAATTTTGAAGTTGATCTTACCTCTGCAGCTACGGATGCATCTGTATGCAAACTGCATCGAAAACTAAATCGCATGTTTCTGATAAAGAATAAGCAGTTTTAGCAAGATTTAGAATATGAATGCCTTTATGCTTTCCAGATATATAAGGTGCCATTTTAGAATTCAATTTCTTAATACTATGACCAACAATGAACCCTTTGCTTATCATTGATTCAAAATTCAAAATGCTGTCACATGAGAATTTCGTTTGAGGTTTGCATTAAAGGAGACATCAAGTTTTGATATTGTCCCCAAAGGGTGCTGTTTGTATAGAGCCGAGCCTCTAAATAATCAAAATGGGGCGAACTTCAAATAGTATTGAGAAATAAAGTTTCAATATTGAAAATCTTTGTAATAGGCTTAAAATATATCGTTATCTTTAATTATAAAATTTAAAGTTTAAAAAATAATGTAGATCGAGCGGATCTATAAAAGCTTGAAAATCTTGAAAATTGAAGATCCAAAATGGGTTACAAGATGCATTATTTCTAAAACTTGAAATCCATCTTTTTCTCATGTCCATGTATCTTGATGTGGAAATCCATTTCTTAGTACCATGAATCATTCATTCAAAATTCAAAATTCAAAATCCTCTCACCTTAGAATTTCTTTTGAGGTTTGCATTAAATTCATTCAAAGAGGAGACATCAATTTTTGATATTTTCCCAAAAAGACTACAATCTTACCAAAAAAATAATGTCGTACAAAGCCGGTGGCATTTTGGTAATTCATCCCGTTATTTATTTCCTCCCTACAGGGGCTCACATGCACACCGGCCGTTTCGCCGGCCAAAACATGTGTGAAGGCGGCGATTTATAACTGTTCCGCTCCTCTCCTCTCCTCGCATCGCCCGTTACTCTCTCTCTCTACAGCAAGTGCACAAACTCTTTCTCTCTCTAAAATTTATCGCCTCTTATGTCTCAAATTTCCTCCACACTTTCTCACTCTACTTCCCATTCTCTCTCATCTGTGCACTGAAAGCGATGCTACAACTCCTTGAGCTCTCTCTCTAGCGGATCCAGATTCCCCCCTCCATGTTCAGTGAGTTCTCTTCTCCATTGTTGCTTCCCATTGCATTTACCTGTAGAAGACTGCCTTTTGCGGTTGGGTTTTCTCGCTTAATGGTGGACAAATGCTACCCCTAAATGCTCTCCCCATTTGATGCGATCCTTGCCGTTTTTGGGTGGAGTTTGTGCTTTAGTGTTTTCTCTTGTTGTGGGTTTTGTTTCAGTTGTTATTGATGGTGGATTTGTGCTAAAATGATCTAGAATGCTTTGGTTTGTACTGATCAATTGAGGAGGAAAGAGAAAAGGAGTGCTTTTTTGGGTTTGATTTTCTTGGGCAGCTCTGTGATTTGATATCTGTTCATTGTGCATTTGGTAGGTTTGTGCACTATGCGATCTGATGTTTGTATTTGTGTTTGATATTTATATCGGGCTTTAGGATTCTTTTTGTTTACCTGAATGTTCTGTATTGACCGTACTATTCTACATTTTTGATGGGCGTGATTTGATCTTGTAGCTTATTTAAGTTTATGATTGATTTGAAATTTTTAGATGCCACTTGCTATGTGTTCCTACTATTTAATTCAATTGGGGATATTTTTTCTTGAGCTAAAAATTCTGTGTTATTATTTGTTTTTTCTTTTTGTAGAAAGTATTCATACTTGTTTTGTGGGATGGTGTTGTGAACTATGTTGTGACACTTCATGGAGAAGGTAATTTTCCCGAAAAGAAAAAAATTGCAACCTTATTGGTGCAAGCATACAACTTTTAATGAGTTTAAATGAAATTAGACATTAATGGAGGAGACAATGTATCCATGATAATTATGCATTGGGATGACCATGATGCTGACAGTGATCTATGCTGACCTTTGAGCACAAGAATTAGGCATCTCATGCGCCACTCGCTGCAATGCCTAACCGCTAAAAGCCATGGCATCTTCCAGGGGGTGATTGTGTTGCCTATCCTTTCAGCATCCACACTAAGCCTCAGTTGAAGATTGAAGATTTAAGAAACCCTCTTTTGACTTGCAAACCTGGGGTTGGGGGTCTTTTTGAAGATGGTTCATCTCGGACTCTGGTCCCTACTTGGGCCCAACCAGAGCAGCAAATTCCACTGTGGCAGAGGCCATAGCCCTGTTAGAAGGTGTCAAATTGTTTGAAAGTGGCTAAGGCCACTCTCTTCTTGTGGAAAGGGGATCGCGTAACATCACTATCTGGTTAAAAAGCCTTTCCCTTCTACCTGGAGGTTATTCCACCAAATTTTTGCAACGATGAACTCCTTACATGCCACTTTTTAGCACGTGTAGAGCGAGGCAAATGCTGCGGCAGATGCATTAGCAAAGGAGGGTATAGCCGTCCAAAATGTTATATTTAGTGTTTCAAAAAGTGCTAGGCGGTTGGGGGTCCAGGCCACCCAGCTCGTAGGTGGGTGCCCAAAACTTGAGCGGCCTAGTAGAATTTTTTTTTTTTTTTTTGAGTTTTTTCCTTCTAAAATAGTATCTAATTGACCTAAAACCCACAATTTTACCCTTTTAGTATTAAAAAATGCCCTCATGGAGCCACATTTCCTCCCTTGGGTGGGGCGCAGGCCCTGGGTGGCCGCCTAGACGGGCTCAGGCGGAGGCCCAGGCGCTGGGCGGTCCGCTTTTTGAAACAGTGGTTATATTAAACTCAACATAGCTTGGGCTTTGATGTGGAATGTTTGGTTTGTTTTCGTACACACTGTCTGTATTTTTGTATGGGGGACACAGTCATGTAATACCTTAGTACTTTAATACAATGTAATCATTAACTCTCTTTTAGAAAAAAAAAAAGAAAAAGAAAAAGAGAGAGAAAGAAACACTCTGTTTTTACTTTTTCCTATGAGACACTGCATTTGGGTCTAAGAGAAGGGCTCCAATCAAACCACCTTTCATTATTAAACAGTTCCTCAGTTCTGTAGTTGAAGAAAGAGGTTGATCAATGAAGTCTCTGATGTGTTCCCTTAGTCTCTTTTACTTACTCCGCAAAGGTGCCACAGAAAAATCTTTACTCTGCAGTTGAAAAATTCTCTGAAGTTATGGTCAATGGGCTATTTTTTGCCAGTAGCTTTTACAATCAAGCAGATAATGAAAATAATGCGCCCCACATGTTTTTATAGTAGAAATGAGATGACCTCATGAGGTATTTTCTTTTCTGTTGTACCCTTTGCAATGATATGTCATGCCCATAGATTTAGAGTAAGGACTAATGCCACTGGCAAACAATGCCTCATAGAAGATATAGAATCCTATTTGAATATCTTTCTTTGCATTTGAAAGAATTCTTGCCATTCTTAGTATCTTAACCTTCAGGGGATCTTTGTGAAGGAAAATTTTGAATGGCGTGGTCTCGTCCATCACCCATAAACCACTATGCTGCTCTGCAAGGCTAAAATGCCTAGAATTTTGATGAAGTTGGACCATGAAAATGTGCGTGCTTGTTTTGGTTGGAATGTGCTGATGGGGATTATGGCTTTTGCTCAAGAAGAGAGGGGAATCTGATCGTGTATCCCAATGGCATCTTTCTCGGTCCTTGGAGATGGATTATCATCTATGTGCAAACTTTATTATTCTTTTGACATCCGTCATTCCATCACTTCTGACATTATCTATCTGTTTGCTGGGTTGAGTTTCTTAGTAGGTTTTCTGAATTGTCAACTAGTTCAATTACTAAATTCTTTGAGTCAATAAAGCATGCCGCTGGATTATGTTGTTTCTTGGGAAGCTTCAATGAGAAGTTTGTTGACAACTTGACATTGGTCTATTGGTTTGATAAGAAGTGTTATAGGCGAAGGCTGAGAGGGGTATGTTTCAGCATGCATATTGACCTATTGTAAGATAACCTCCCAACTATGTATCTTGGGTTGTGTTGGGAAGGGGCAACCTGAATAAGCACCTGTCTTGTCCTTGATAATCATATCCGTAATATGCCATTCCAAATTAATGACACATGGAAGTCATTTCCACTTTACTATTTGCCTAACCTTCCATATTATGTCTTTATTGCTTGACTGATACATATTCTGAGTGTTCTTGATAATTTTGTACCACTTGTCTGCCACTGTTGAAGTGCAGGGACTGTTTCTGAATTTATTGTGATCAAAATTTAAATCTCATATTTTCCAAATTCTGGCTTATGGTGGAGACATTTTAATGAGAACGTTCTCTAGGCAGAGGTGGTGGGTGCCACAATGTGATATCTAGAGTTCCGTTCTCACTAGGTTCCAAGCTAACAAATAAAAAAAAAAAAAAAAAAAAAAAAAGACCATCTTTACTTTTTACACACGTATATTGTTGTTTCATCTTACAGTATGGAAAATGATATAAATATTACCCATGTAAGCTAACATGGAAGTGATACTTTGACTCATTGTTTTTGATATTTTGACCATGTTTTTGTGCTATATGACATTTTTACTCTTTGTTAAATGTGGAGAATAATGTTGATGAATTTATTTATTTTGGGTAATTATGTTGATGAATTTATTTCATTGAGTAATAGTGCATGTTCACTATAAGCCTCTAGTGGCATGAGCCAGAATATGTTATCAATGAGTATGGTACTACGAATTTTCACAAAAAATTTGAATTTTGAGTTTTGCAACACTTAGATCTAGCCTTTCAAAAATTGGACGGCCCCTGTTCAATCTTGACCCATTTTGATTTCTGTACATTGGGAGTTTATTTCGGAAATTAATTTTATGGGTTATAGAGATTACATCCCCAAAATTTGAGATCTAAACAACATCCCTAACATCTGTTTTACCCGAGGCAGTAAAATGGATATTATACTCCTGCAGGAATAGGAAATCTTTCAGGATATATATGTGTGTGTGTGATCTATATATATATATATATATATTTCAAAACTTTTGGCCACAAAATGCCCTTATATGAGAAAACAAACTTTTAACTATAAACAATTTATGTATTTTAGGAAGGGTATTTTTGTTGGTTCAAAATCCCTACCAAACTCAATTTCAAATTTAAAAATATTCCTTTGAGTTCTTGAATGATGATTGGATTTTTAAAATAATTTAAATTACAAGTTTACCCTTTCAAATTTTTTAAATAAGCTATTGTTAATGTAATTTTTATATTTTGAAAGGTATTTTGTTGTTAAAATTTCGGAGTAGGATATTCTAATTTAACCATTAGTGTAGTGTATTCTAGAATAGCTCGATACACACACACATATAGATATACACACACATACATGTACATAATATGTACATATGCATAATATATACATGCACACATACATATACATACCTACAGACACATACACACTGACATACATAAATACATACATATATATTAAGTTGAAAGTCACCTATAGTCCAATACATTCTCTTCCAATGTGGTAGCATCGTGATGTGCCTTAGTTTAAGAGTTGTTTTGTAATTATTCACGCAAAGATATGAAGAATTCAAAAAGTTTTTCTTGGTTACCCCTGTTTTGGCAGTGTCCAAGTTGGCCATGAAATTTGAGTTTTTGGACACCGCTGGAAAGAATACCTTAAATGAACTGGTTATATTCTGGGGCCACCGTCTTGTGTTGTTATTAAGTGATAAAATTACTCTGTTAATTGCTCAAATTGAATTTGCAATATTACAGCAAACAATATGCTTTTAGAGATGAACTGTCTGTGGTTGTGTTTATTCTTTCTTGTTTGGGGTCATTGGGTTCTGCACCAATCTTGCTTACATGAATCTCAGATTCACTTTTGCTGTATGTTTCTCACTGTAGCTGTTACTTTACCTTGCATATTTCTTTCACATCTCTACTTTTTGCCTGTCATTGTTGAGTCCTTATTCTTGTCGTTGATTGTCTTTGGTTTCTGTTTTTGATTTCTTGTGCTTAGCAATGTCGGCGAAGGCCCTCAGAGATCTCAACACATTTCCTGGATCTGAGAAGAAAACTGAGGGCTCTAGCAAAGGTTGCTTCATGAAGCCTTTTACCGAGAATGAAACCGAGAATATTGACAAGTGGCAGAAATGTATACCTACTTCTGTGACCTGCAATGCTTCAACGGCAGAAGTTGAAATTGGGAATACCGGATTAGAGGCAGCAGGCTCTGAAATAGAGTATATAGAATCTGAAAATTTGAACGATCTTCAAGATGTAGATACAAATCTAAATGTATGAGTTGTTTCCATTTCAATTGCTTGCTACCCCTTAGTATTTTCTTGCTAATTTGTCGTAAAATTTTGAAACTGATTTTCTTTAAAGTTTAGTTGTTAAAGGGATACTTTTTTTGCATTAGACATTGTTATCAAGGCTGGATTCAAAGGACTGGGTTTCAGTATGTGAGGCCCTGAATCACGTGCGTCAATTATCAATCTTTCACAAGGAAACTATGGTTCCGATGTTGTAAGCGTTCTGATACTTCAAAATTTATTTTCTTCAAGGTTCGATTGTCTCTTTTGAGAAAAATTATAGCAGTGAGATTGAATGTGTAGATGATCTCCTGCAGTTTGAAGGTTATGTATATTTATTACTTTAATTATTGTCATTTTTCATTTTGTTATGTTTATGTCTTCCACAATTTTCGGGGAACAGAGGAAATGTGGTGTCACTCACAGTCAAATCTCTGAAAAATCCTAGAAGTGCTGTATGTAAAACTGCAATCATGACGTCTGCAGACATCTTCAAGGTTTACAAGGATGGCATAATTGATTCATTTGAGCCTTTGGTAAGTAAATGAATGCATGATGTATATAGTATCTAGTATCCATACCAATTTGGCATTTTCTTTGTGCTCTCACATGTCGACCGTTTGTGCAAATTTTTAAAGAGAAAGGTTATGCCTATGATAATAATTTCCTATGGTATGGCTACAGCTTATGCAACTTCTTCTCAAGTCTTCCCAAGATAAACGTTTTGTATGTGAAGCTGCTGAAAAAGCTTTGACAACGATGACCATTTCAATCTCTCCCACTTTACTATTACCAAAGTTGCAGCCACATTTGAAGCATCGGAATCCTCGTATTCGGGCAAAAGCATCGATGTGTGTATGTAGAAGTGTGCTAGCACTGGTAAGTTACTTTTTTCATCAATTTAGTTATTAGCAATTCGCGTTCCATTTCTTTCAACAAGTTTTGCAAATGGTCTGCCGAATTATGTATATGGCACTAGCAACAGATAGCTTAACGAGGGGGCCTGCTTTGAATGTGCAATCCAGATGATAACATAGGACACAACCTTTTGCAATTGTTCTTTACTTTATAATACAATGTAGTTTTGATGTAGATCTTATATTGTACAGCATGCACAGTCATTGTTGCAGTCAATTTATTGTCACTTAAAAACTGTTATATGTATGGGACCTAAGCGCAGTCCAGTTATTTGTATGTCACTTGAAACAGTTTGTATGGGACAAACTGTTATTTATTGCAGTCCATTTAGATAAGTTACTTTTTTCATCAATTTAGTTATTAGCAATTCACGTTCCATTTCTTTCAACAAGTTTTGCAAATGGTCTGCCGAATTATGTATGTGGCACTAGCAATAGATAGCTTAATGAGGGGGCCAGCTTTGAATGTGCAATCCAGATGATAACAAAGGACACGACCTTTTGCAATTATTCTTTACTTTATAATACAATGTAGTTTTGATGTAGATCTTATATTGTACAGCATGCACAGTCATTGTCGCAGTCCATTTATTGTCACTTGAAACTGTTTTTTGTATGGGACATAAAATTTATATTAGTTGTGACTTGCCTAATATGTATCTTACGATAATATCAATTTATACTTCGTAGATATTCCAATTTCTTTGTAAATTTTCAGTACTCTATTGAGCAAATCTGGTTAATGAAGGAACTTTTAACTGGCTTAATGGCCATATGTTAACATCTTGTGTTTGAAAGTAAATATCCAACTCGTGTCTGAATGTTTCATAGTGGTTAAGTAGTTGGAGACACATTGGTTTGCAATTAGGAGAATGCTTATTATATTATCACAGTCTTTTCAAATGAGAACTTTAGTTTATCAATAAATTAAAACATGGTACAAGAAGACATGCTACAAGAAAGGAAACTTTAGTTTATCAATAAATTAAAACATGCTACAAGAAAGAAAAAAAAGAAAAGAAACTTTAGTTTATCAATGAATTAAAAAATGCTACAAGAGAAAAAAAGAAAATGTAATTAGAACAAAGCACAAATGGTTGATGAGAAATCATCATCAAACATGGTACAAGAAGACATGCTACAAGAAAAGAAACTTTAGTTTATCAATAAATTAAAACATGCTACAAGAAAAGAAAAAAAAGAAAAGAAACTTTAGTTTATCAATAAATTAAAACATGTTACAAGAAAAGTAAAAAAAGGAAATGTAATTAGAACAAAGCACAAATGGTTGATGAGAAATCATCATCTTAGAACCACTAAATACTACCATTGGATATAAAGCCTCCCGCACCCTTAACCAACACATTGATAGTCTCATCCGATAACATTAAGTCAATCACCATCTACTCCTAAGGGGGACCAAAAGCGACGGGCCTTGGAGGAGGCTTTTGTTCCAGGAGCACTAAAATCACAGACTGGTCAAGGGCCTGAAAAGACATCAAGATCTTTCCCATACAATACTGAGCTGGGCCACGTACTCTAGCTGGACCCAAGTTGCCCCAAGAACAGTAGTCGATGTTGATCTCCACTGACCTAGATGGGGACCTTTGGTGCTCCATACTCGAGCCGGGATGGAGAACAGATAATAGTGCCAACTCTTTTATGCTATTGAAAAAGTCTCAGTCTTGAGAGGCATTGGAAATCCACATGGAAAGTAGCATGATTTGATAAAGATACCTGTACATATATGCAAGAATGCCAAGTTGGGGATATTAGAGGTGAGATGTGGTCTGTTTATTATGTTACTTCTCACTAAAGCAGATGATAGTACCAGCTTGTTCAGGCTATAAAAATCCCCAGTCTTGAGGCCATGAAGATACAAAAAAGGAAAGTAGTGTAGTTGGTAATCAGGCGTGTATGTAAAAGTTTGGACACTGCATGCCTGTATGTAAAAGTATGGACATTGCATTGGAGATATTGATTGAAAGTCATGATTTGTTCATTGTTTTATTTCTCACTGCACTCCACGATGTCTATTTATGATTAGAATCTTCATAATATGTGACTGAAGGAATTGCAAACTGAGTAACTCTCAGGTCCTGGTTCATATTGATAATAAATTGGTACCTGCGCTGCTTGTTCTCTGGTCTATTCTTATCTTTCCCATGCATTTCACCACTTTTTTGTTTGTTCTCATTTCTTATTTGAATCTATTCTCTCTCCTCTTTTTCTTGTCTGCCTGCTGCTGAAATGGATGTGGTAAGGCTTAGGTCTTCAATGTTGCCATTGCTGAAGTTAGTTAGAGTGAGAACTTGTGTTGACACTATCACTGACTTTGATCTCACCCTCGTCATTCTCTCTCTTACATTTTTGCTAAGAGTAATGGAGAGGGTTTAGAATAGGAGCAGAACAAGGGTTTAAAGGAGAAAGCAGATGTAAAATAAAGGGCAGAAGGGAGTGAAAAATTTCTGAAAGAAGGTTTCAAAGAAAGGAAGGTTAAGAGAGAGAAAAATGAAAGAATGAGGTTAATTTGTTGAAGCTCTTGATGGTTATGGAATTTCTTAATTTGATCAAATTTTTAGGTAGTTTGGAACTTTTGTATCTTGTACGTGGTACTTTTCTGTCTACGATCTTGTAGATTGAGAACCTTTTTAGTTCACTTATGATTTCTTTTATCCTTTAATCCAATCTATGTTAAGTATTTAGTGGTAGTTTCAGTTATGTGTACCGTTTTCTCGTTAACCGATTTTCTTGATAGCTATATTGTCGTGTACCTTCTTAGCTAAACCCTGTCTGAATAATCCATATTTGTATTTCTTCCCTTCATGTTGATCAAGTGGTGATTTGTTAATGCTTCTTGATATGTTGTTCTGATTGTCTTATGGACTAAGAAATTGTTGAATTTATGCATGTCCTTTTTCTTAGGTGGTACTCAGTTGTGTGAAAATCTAATATTGTTTCTTGATATGTTGTTGTGATTGTGTCTCATGGTCTAAAATATTGGTTGAATTGATGTTGTTGGTGTGTGTCTCATGGTCTAGAATATTGATTGAATTTATGCAAGTCCTTTTTCTTAGGTGGTACTCAGTTGTGTGACAGTATGATATTGTCCCATACCTTTTTGCAAGATTTTGTTGGAACAACGAGGTCCTCATGTATCGTCCAATATCTCACTATATACTGGATAGGTATTTTATCTCTGCTAATTCATGGGAGACCAAGACAGAGAGCTATGGTTAGCTGCTTTCGCTTTGCTCCTCTTGGTCATTAAGCTCAGTTATACTTTTGTGGACAAGTTTATGTTATCAAAAGCCGGGTTCTCTTTCTATGTGCTGCCTCAAACTTCTGTAGTCTTTGCCAACAGTTTGGTCTTGGATTAGTAGGACTTCACATTTTTCGGACTCTTTGCATGTCACTCAGGTAGTTATTAACAAAAGATGCTATTACTAAAAAATATATAGTTTTCACAGGGCCACTTTTATTAGTTTTATTTGAAATTTGGTGTTTTTCTTTTTTCAAGTTGACACTGTCAAACCACATCTCCTAATGATGAGAAATTTAGTAATCTGAGCTTCTCTCATTTTGTGGGAGATCGGTGCTCCCTCTGTGTTTTCTGGAGGTTGAGGAACTGTTATCTTCTGCAAGGTTGAAAATAGGCATTCTGAGGGATGTTGTGGACTTTAGTTTGTCAATTAGTCACACATACAAACACACAATATATGTGTGTGCACACCGTATGTCTATGAGCAACCAATGCACATTTTTAAGGGGGATTTTTTTTCCTATTTGTTTGTTAAGGATGCTTTGTGTCTGAAAATTTTCAGCTCGTCTTTGGTTCACCTCTTAAATAAGTTCACTATGAAAAAAGGATTAGGAGTGCCTTTTTTTTTTGAAAAGTAGGATTAGGAGTTCCCTTAAAATCCTAGATATGATTCTTCCTCAAATGGACGTTCAGTCAATCCTTGAGTGAGATTTCTTTGAAGAATTTTTTTAGATCCATTTTTTTAAAAAAATTGATACAGGAGATGAGTAAAAAGATAATCTGAAAATTTCCAGATAAACACCAACCTCGTGTTTTTGGGTGAGCGAATGTGTTGGTAGCGCTCTTGCAAGAGTACCAAATATTTTTCCTTTATGTATGTATGCATGCGTGCGTGCATGTTTAAGAATTAGGTAAGCTGATGAAGTTTGAAATGCTGGCTTATGTCATACAAAGTGGGTTGATTCTGTTCGACCAAAGGCCACTGGGCTTTAACTTCTTTCATCTTCCAATATTCAATTCAATATTTCTTATAGTATGTGCCAAGGTTTATTAATCCTCATGTGTGGGAAATCTCCACTTTTTCTCTTGTTGCGAGTCATATGTATTGTTGCTGCTATTACCTGCATTGATTTGTTTACTCAGCTTTGTGCATGTGGAACAAACTCTGAAATTCTGGCTTTCTTCATCCAAATGGGACCATTCTTTTGGGCCAGAGGCATGGGTGCTTCTGTCTGCTGCTTTCAGATTTCCATGTATGTTAGTGGTTTTGATCTGTTTTACTAGTCCTTTAATTTCGGATAATTCGCTATCCTTCGGGTTGTGAGTGTTTGCTGCTATTACCAGTAATCATTTTTACCTCAGCTTTGCTCAATCTTTTTGTCTTCTGTTTGAAGTGTGTCCATGTGTGGGTGTCATGTTGACTTATGACCCATTTGCCTTAGGTTTTCCTTATTAAGAGCTATTGTCTGCTCCATTATGGTGGTTTCTGAAATATCTGTTCCACTATCCCTAAATTTTACTTTTGAGATACATTTTTGGTTTGCTGTGAGTATTGCGGATATTCCTCTTATTTTTCATATTGCCTTTCATCCAATTCTATTCTTGACAACAGAATCCTTCTTTTATGATAGCTATCAATCTGTTACTTTCAGATTAGAGAGAATGTGCAGATCATTATCAGACTTGTGGTGCCTTGCATGTAAGATGACACTGCCATGGCAATGTGGCCACTTAATTTATGATGCTTGACGAATTTGGCAGGTTGAGACACTGTATGCTAGTTATTAAGAGTGAGAGTTTTCAGATGCATTGGCTTTCTTGTGGGATGTAAGTCATGACAATCTGCTCTGTCCTTGGCTATTAAATGGAGCAGTATAGAACTCAACTTGCTCTGGTGATTTTGTACCTCTGCAAGATGTAGATCTGGCTGGCTTCAATAGAGGTCCAATGTGAATATGTGAGTAGTACTTATGAGCTCTTCTGTAGATTTTCTTTTGGAATGATCTCAGATTCATCTATTCTTGTGGGAGTTGTGCATGTCGATGTGGTTGAAGGTGTAAGGAGTTGATCAGTAGCTTACTGGAAATGTGGTTTGGGAAGGATTACAGGACCTTATGGAGTAAAATTGCTGGGGGGACTTTTAGTAGGTTTGCTAGTGCTTCGAGAGTGATAGAGGAGAATCAGATTGACTTCCAAAAGGCAGTTAGATATATGCTTGGGAATGATTGGGCAAGTAATTTGAGGTGATACATGGTGTGCAAACAGAAAGTCTAGCTTTGAGCTTTCGGGGACTTATAGATCAGCGATAAGCGACAATGGTTGTGTGGGTTATTGTTTTGTTAGAATTTATTGAGAGTTAAGTGGTTGAAAAATTAAGAGAAAAAGATATAAACTCCCCTCTCAAAAATTATAATCCCAAATAACTCCCTGGTTCTATAAATATCCCATATCCCCCAAGTTAAACAAAAAAGGATGTTTAAACCCCTCATTACCTTTTCCATTGTCCAAATTATAGAATTTACCCTTCTTTTCTTAGTCACCCTATTATCAAAATCCTGTAAAAGCTCTCCTCTCTCTTTCTTCCTCACCCATGGACCTCCTCCCTCTCTCTCGAGCAACCTTCTATGAGTACTTATCTCTCTCTCATCTTGTGAATCTCACTTATCATCATCATCATAGCCTTTTCCCAATTATTTGGGGTCGGCTACATGAATCGTGATCCGCCATTATGCTCTATTAAGGGCCATACCCTTGGTGAGGCCCATAAGTCTTCTCACTAATAAGTTAAAAGAGGCATCACAAACTTGATTTTTATGATGAGGTTATTAGAAAAAAAAGGTATTGGACAATGAAAAAGGTAAGGAGGGGGTTAAACATCATTTTTGTTTAACTTGAGGGGTTCCATGGGCTTTTTATGGGATTGGGGGGTTATTTGGAATAATAGTTTTGGGGAGGGGTTATTCGTCTTTTTCCCAAAAATTAAATACATTTTAGTAGTCTTTAAGTTGTCTCATCTTGCGAGAGCATTGGAGCTTTGTAAGGAGCTATTGTAACTTGAGGGTGTGGATGAATAAGTTGGGACAAGCCATAAGGTGGAATTATCTAAGATATTTCTACCTTGCCATCTGTGGCAGCATCCATGGAGTACTTTCATGGAATTTGGTCTGGATGCTTGTGGTCTTCCACAGTGAGCTGCCTTTGGACCAAATTCTCCTGGGTAATTATTTTTCAAATTGGAGTTTTCATTTAGTGAATTTCTTTCGTGGTGCATAAAGCCTATGAAGATGGTAATTAACCTCTTTGTGTGGGGCTAGTACATGACTTCATTGGAAGCTTGGATTATTTCTTGGGTTCCTTTTTGTATTTTGTAGATGAATAAATGGCCACACATGCACATCAATGGTAGTTCCATTAGATCAGATCGAAATCTCAGTGTGGTATTGGAGCAGATCAGATGTTGAAATTGCATATCCCCATTTTGTTTGCTTGTTTGCTCATGGGCATGTGTGTGTGACACGAGAATACGTGAAACCGTATATTTCAGGTTTTGCTTAGGTGACAAATGGTTCAGAAGAAATCCTTAAAACTGGGTCATGGGGTCGTTTGAGATTTTCAGCAGGCTTGGGCGGCGAGTGATCTGCTAACTCAGTATTGACTAGTCTGAGTTTGTGATGAGTAACTTTCTCGATTATCTGTGGCTTAAGGCTTTCCATTTGTCTGAGTTGATACAGTCTAGTCAAGAGTCCGCTGACGTAGTCTTAGTGCTATATCCTAGTACCTTATAAAACAATCTTTTTTGTGAGTGGAAAACATTACATAACTATGAAAATGACAACTTAATAAATTTATAGGAAAGAACTCACGGTGGCCTGGATTCCTGTAAAGCTGTATTAACTGAACATCCTGGCTCTGTATTATCTTCCCATTCTACTGTGGACAAAGATCCGTATAAGGTCCTCATGTTTCTGAGGAAATTAAATTCCTTTCAATTCATGGAGATTTGACAATGCCTCTTGAGGCCATCTTAATGACATTTCAAGGCCATCTCTCACTATTTTTTTTCTCGTAGTATTATCTCATTATAACTGCAGCCATTTTATGCTTATTCTTGTGTTAAATTTTTATCTTGAATGCACAATGTGGATTCTTGCACAAAATAATCTGAGGTCAATACGTTTTGCATATTAGGGTTCAGAAGGAATCAAAGCATATGGGATTGATAAGCTGATCCAAGTAGCGGCTTCCCAACTCAGCGATCAACTTCCCGAATCGAGAGAGGCTGCTCGTATCCTCACGTTGGAACTGCAAAGTGTTTACGAGAAATCCTACCTTCCTCTCATTCAAACCACTGAATCTGAAAACTTGAAGAGTGAATCTTGGGAAAGCTTCTGCCAAGCCAAGCTCTCACCATTGAGTGCACAGGCAATCCTTCGAGTCACAGCTTCAGCAAGGGAAGAAAACCTCATTTTGGGTTGCTAACAGTGGGCTTCATACTGTTGCAATGAAATGAGGTAGAACTTTTGATTTCAGAGTATTAGTTTGGCTCTTTAAAATTGATTTCATATAAATTTTTTTATATAGGTATGTAAATTTGAGTCTCTGGTGAAAAGTCGTGCAAGTATGACCCTTGGGTAGTAATGAAAGCTTTTGATCATTTTCTTATGGTTTTATTTTTTGGTGTGTAGCATAGTACAAACTTTTGGGTTGTTATGTATTCCCGGACTATTGTCTTTTATTTATCTTCACTGCAAATTTTCTCGAGAGAAGTATGTATCATTTGCGTACACGAGCTGCAAATTATCAATGTAATGGGTGCTAAACTGGGGCTGATAAATGTGAGAATGATTGGTATTTAAAGTGGTGCATATTCCAAATAAGGTATTTTCTTTTAGCAAGGGTCTTTATTTCTGGAATGCAATGCTTGATGCAATAATTAGGACATTAAGGAATGTGTGTGTGTGTGCTCATGTTTAAGGCACTTGACTGTGCTCTTTGTGGCGTAATGGATGACCTGCCCATGTTTGAATGGCAATAGAATGGCCTCCTTCAAAGCTTGTATAGGGTCTCTAAGTAGGCAATGTTTGATGAAATGCATGAGCTTGACATTTCAGTTTGAAAAAGAAATCTGACATTCGAGTTAAAAAATTCACCTGAAATTGGGAGAACCCAACTTTGTACTATGATCCTGTGAGGCATAATAAGCTCTGGTGTTGAACACACTAAAATTCAATCTTGGTTCTTCGAAAATAAGCCTAGATAACTGTTTGTCCTTCTCCAAGACTAAGACGACGTTGGGATCATGGCTGCTAGCCTAATTTTTGGGATAAGGAGCTTACTCATGTTTATAAAGTGACTGATATGGATTAAACCCACATTTAGAGAGAATAATCCAAAGGACGTTGCCTTTGTAGATTAGGGTGCTTGCTAAATAAAAAAGTGTAAAATAAGGTTTTATTTTGTTGGAGGGTTATGGTGAATTTAAAAAGGCGTTAGATTAGCTTAAAAAAAGATTCATCAGTGGCAATTGGTGATCTAGATCGGTAGGCTTCAAAACATTGGTTTTGCTGACAAATATTAGTGAAGGGTTCAGTTTCTTCATCTTCTTTTATTTTTAATTTTAATTTGAATTTTATTAATGTTAATGAAATGAATCAAAATTGACATTAATTTGGTTCTTGTCGATCTCACAAGGACCTAACTAGTTTCAATGTCCACACCTTAACCAATCAAGCAAGCCAGAGCTAATCCTGGATAGAGCTTGCGCCTACTTTCTTTGACCTGAAAATTACTTTTTATTTTTTGGAGTGTTTAATTACTAGTATTTTATTAAATCAAACATAATTAGATACAATGCTAAAGGGCAAAAAGTTAACAAAAGTAGAAGCCTTTACCTACTTAAAAAATGGTATATAATATTAAACTGGAGACGTGTCAGAGATAAAAACATTGGCATTGACCACGAGGTGGTTGGCCACAATCTACAAAATGGGTTTTGCAACGAACCGTCAATGGTGCGAATCCACTTTATAAGAAAATAAAAACATGGTTATAACCAGTTATTTGCTTTTGTAGTTAATCAAAACATGGTGATAATAATTTATTTGCATTTGCAGTTGCTTTCCTTCCTACGTAAATAGAAGGGGTTAAATTCTTTCAAATTTTTTATTACATATATTGAAATAAAGATCCAATTGGAAGGTTTTTCAGCATTCGAAACAACCTTTTTTTGGTGTAATTTTGCTGTACATATAAAGTTGGCACCTCATGTACAATTTTTCGTATGCTAATAACTATGGAAAATTGTTTCATGCAGGCTTTTTAGTGTAATTTTGCTGTACATATAAAGTTGGCACCTCATGTACAATTTTTTGAATGCTAATAAATATGAGAAATTGTTTCATGCAGGCTGGACGACATTTTTACTTATGCGGTCCGGAAAGTGTAAAGCATCTATCTTAAAGGTGGATGCACGTAGGTGTTCTATTTAAAAACAATAGAAACTAACGGTCCAAATGTTTTCTTACTATAATTATTATTTTTAGTTTTTAAAATTTATTCATTTTTTCATATTCATGATCTCCATGTTAGAGATTACATGTCCTTAAAACCTCAGTCTTAAAATGCATCTAAAGCATAGATTTATTAAGAAGCTCGCAATCTACATATGGGGCTTGGTAGCATAGAAACCGGGTCCAAAAAATATTATATTCATTTAGCATTATACTGTCTAATACTCCCTCGGGTACAACACCATCTAGGATTAATTTTAGGACCACTCCAAATTTTGGGGTGTAACCTCTTCAACTGATAGAATAATTTCAAAATTTTTCCGTTCAATTTTTTGATAGTGAGATCTAAGTATTAGAAAGCTCAAAATGCAGGTTTCTTCTTTTGAGAATAATCATCTAGGTGATTTTTAAATTGATTTGCAAAGTTTCAGATTGAAAAAATACTCACAAGTAGGTCTTCCGATCGAGGGAGTAGACGTACACCATCCTCCTTTGAGCAAAATTTATATATAGGAGAGAGAGAGAGGGGTGGTAAAGACAAACGTCGGCATTTTTCCTGGCAAAAGGTTTGAGATTCGTTTGCTATGAGAATTCTCAGCATTTTTCAGAGAAGGGATTCTTGAGTTTGAATACTAATATATAATAAATTAATAATAAAGGAAAAAAAAAAAGAGTGGGTTTGGAGAGTGATAAACTGGAGTATGTTTTTTGACATTATTTACTATTCGGATTTTGTAAGTTGAAGTGAGAGATATCAGTATTGGTACAATGCTAAAGAAACCCAAAGGTGCAACCCCAAAAGGTGCAGTTGGCTTTAGAATTTTTTACTTTCCCAAAAGAGAATAAACATAAATAGTTTCAAAAGTTATGTGGAACATTTTTCATATTGGAAAAGCAAACCACTCTCCTGGACCTTTTAAGGATCTGCCCATGTCACCTGCGAAAAAGTTTAAAGTATAGGGCATGTACCTTTAAGCCACTCAGAATATGAGTAGACACGTTAAAAGGTCCTCTTAAATGCTTCTTAACAAAACATTGAGAACTAGCAATCCACATGCTTGCACCCCCTGCTCTATTTTTTTGAGAAAACTGTGGATTTCTTATTTTAATTTCACATTAAATAAATGTAGGTTGAGTTTGGATGCAGGGGTGGCAATAGACCTGACCCCGACCCGAGACCTGAAGGTAGACCCGTAGGTCCGGGTATGGGTCCAAAAATTGAATCCGGCGGGTGGGGTTTGGGTCCAATCGGGTCTAGGTCCCACTCATATTTTCCGATCTTAATTTATGAAAAAAGTTAAATATATTTAAGTACATATACATTTTAATTTTTGGGTTAGGTTTAGGTTTGGGTCTAAGCCCCACATTATATTTTCGGGTCCGTGTCTGGGTCCTGTAGCTTTGGGTCCAGTCGGATCCGGGTCCCATAATACTTTGCCACCCCGATTTGAAGATATGGCACTAATGGCAATAAGACAAGAGCACAAAGGCCATGACCAACCACACACTTCTCAACATTGCTCATTCGTGGGGCAAGACAACAGACAACATTGGATTTGGACCCCCCTAGAATCCTAGCTTATGGGTACAAATATCATGATATTGCTCACATGTTGCCTGTAACTTTTCTTCTTTCCAAGGCATGTTATATTTAATATTAAGGGCAGGCAGTTTGGAAGTGGACTCTAGCTTGTAAGGGTCCCTTCCAATTTGACCTGTACGGTTTAGATGATTCTCAAGTCAGATTGGGTTATATTTAACAATTAAGTTCAAAAAAAGAAGAATCTAGAAATTCGATAATTGGGGCCATTCAATTGTTCCATAAGACCATACCCACTTGCCTAGTTATGATCCCGATCGGACTTGAGTGAGGTCGAGATGATCAATTTGAGGATTTTTGAGCATCGAAACAACTTCTTATCTTAAATTTTTGCGGTGCGCCTTAATTTGATTATTTGGAGCCTCACCCTTGTATAAACATTTTCCTTATCATAATAGATAATTTATCTTTTTCTCCATGTGTTGTGGACCTAAAAGCTAACCCATCTATCTACCTTGACACTGATTTCTCATCCTCTCCATAAGCATTTTTCTATTCATCAATCCTTGTTTAATATGTAAAAGATAGCATGACCATGACCATGACCATGACCCTTCCCTTGTAAGCTATCTATTTTTACCTATTCCTCTTCGTTGTCAGGTCATGGCATGAGTACGACCTCTCCACTATATAAATTCCTATTCTAATCCTTTCACAATTTCTCCATCTATATAAATTCCAATTCTAATCCTTTAATTATGCAAATTCTCCATCAACCCCAATCATAGGGTTTTTGGCCTTTATTGCCTCACCAATTACCCTAAAATTATTTTTTTGGGTTGGTGATCTTGGGACCCTTGGCTTTTCTCATCCACTCTATAAAGGTAAAGAAAATTAAATACCCACCACTTCAAAACTAATAAATACATCTGATCTTAGAGAGAGAAAGCCCAACATCCTAAGACCATTAAATGCCCCCCATTGCATAGTTCCAATGCAATCTTAATCACCCTAATCAGAATGGTCAGGTATGGAAGCATGAAATCTAACATATCCAGAGAACCTGACCAAAACATTTCTCCGTCAGTACAAATTCTCTCTCCAAATTTGAATCTCGTTTCATGAAGCGCACTTTAAATTTGGCTGACCCACATGCAACACTTGCTCCCCATTCAAAAAACTCAAACATGGGTGTTCCCCAAATTCTCTCTCATATTTTTCTCTCTCATCTTTATTGCTAGCAAACTGCAGTTTGTCTTCTCTGGAATGTCCTTTCTTTCTAATGTGGTTTTTGATTGCCTCATGGGGTCCGTTATTCTAGGGCCTTGGACTCTTATGTAAAAAGGATGAACAATAACAGGGTCCTCCCCTTTGTTGCACAGATCATGGTCATGGCTATTGTGATCTCTGTGATTTTGCTCTTTGTGGGAATTGGCGTTCTTGTTTTGATCCACGTTTGCATAGTGGGTAGGGCTCTTAGGAGTGGTATGATCATTGCAAGGTCTAATGTTAACTCAGGTAACAGCAGTGGCATATCTCGAGAAGATTTGCAGAGGCTCCCCTGTTTTGACTACAAAACAGGGGATAAGGAGAAGGGGCCAATTGATTGTGCTGTTTGCTTGGATGGTTTTCAAGGGGGTGATAAGTGCAGGTTGTTGCCTATTTGTAAGCACAGCTTCCATGCTCAATGTGTCGATTCATGGCTTTTGAAGGCACCAATTTGCCCCATTTGTCGAACCAGCGTTTGCCTGTCGAAAGTTGCAGAAGGTGGGTGCAGCCATTTGGGTGAGGTTGGGTTTGAATTGAGGGTTACCCAACCTGTTACAGTTGGGTTTCCGGTTATACCAGATGTGTTGACACCCACTTCACCTATGGATAGGTCTCATGGCGCCATTAGTCCTGCACATGTGGGGGTTCAGAGTAGCTCAGCTGTTGAAATGGCTTCTGGGTCTTGACTCTATGCATTGAATCAGACATCTTCTTCTTCTGGTGAAGTGGTTTTTGGGTTTCTCGGTTTGATGATGAAGGAGAGAAAGGGCGAAATTGTTCCTTATCGGGCTGTAAGTCTGTCTTAGAGGCATGCATGCTTTGGTTTTGTTTGGTTTTATCTACTTCATGCATTAGAAGATAAAAGTACATGCTTCCTTCTGTTTTCCTCATGTAAATATTGTGATTAATGGAGGTTTTATTGCCCTATATCCCATAACCTGATTTTACACTTCTTGTTTGATTTCATTAGAGGGGGTAAAGGTTTGTGAGTGTTTCTAGAATTGGAGTTTTGTGAAGATTCCCTAGATTGTGAATTTATGGATGAGATAAACATAGGGTCCCCATGTGGGGATGGACCTCACAAAATGTAATTATAGAATTCTTAAAGGAAGCTTTAAATTTGGTTTTTATAAATTGAAATTTATGACTTCTTCGATGGAAGTTTCCGAATTGGCTTCCTCTTCTCTCCGTGTTCTTGATTTGGCTCTGTTGAATAAATTGCTGGCTCTTCTGATTCTTTTTGAGCTGATTGACTAAGGAACCCTGGATTTCTCTCCAGGAATCGTCTGGTCACTGTTTATTTTGGCTGGTAAATTGAAAAACTCACGGGGTTTTCCCTCTCCTGACCGCTTACTGTAAATTTTACAGTTATGATCCCTTGTACATTATAAAAAGGATTAAATTATTATTTATAATTTTTTTTACCGTAAGTGTGGTAATTAAAATAATTCATTGATCACTACTTTTTGGAACTGTAGCTCATTTGAACTGCTGAAACATGTCCCTGCCTCTTATCACTTGGTGGTGGTTTTGAGTTAATTTTAGGTGTAAGAAATATTTTGGAACACAGTCCTGCCTTGGTCCTTAATTGTGAGCTTCTTTATAGGACATGTCTTTTCAATTCTTTTTATTTTTAGTGTTTCTTTATGGCCTGTATCAGATTTTAATTAACATGGTTTGAGAAAATGCTTGAAGCCAATATTTTAATACATTTACTTTCTCTTGCACAAATGTGTATCTGTGTTCCTTAATTATTATTTTTTGTATCCAAAGTTTCTTTTCTCTTTTCAATTTATATATTTTTTTATATTTCCTAGTTTCTCCTTTTTGATATTTTTAGATTAGTAAAATGTGATTTAGTCAATCCAGTTATCAATTGGGGATTCTCATTTCTTAGGTTAACTCAGTGGTTATGCTGTTGAGTTTTGACTAGTTAATAGGCTCCTGTTACAGTTATCTTTACCCTACTAATATTTGACATGGATTTCAGTAGTTTACCTGTTTTTCTCATGTGGTGGAACTTGTATTGAGACCATTGGCCCATTGGCTGGTAAGGGCACCAAATAAAGTTTGCCATTTAGAAACACACTGGAAGCTGTTCAAACGCCCATAAACTCAAAGTTCCGTAATGAAACTGTTAGTGAAAAATTCTGTTTGGGTTTGTTTAAAACAATGAATTCTTCTAATCCCATTCATCCTTTGATTTTGTCATGCTGCTTTGTGCTATTTATTTTCGTCAATGTTGTTTCCCAACTTGATTTGTGATTGTGCTCCAAAATCTGATTTCTGCTGCCTCTTATGACAAAAAATGGCACCAAAGCTTTATTGGCTTCTCTAAGATTGTTAATTGACTACGGGTTGTTTGAAATGACACTACTTTGTCTATTAAGATGTAGATTAATTCTCTATAATCGTTCTACCTTTGCATTACTGACTATTCAAACAGCTTTCCTTATTGAACTTTATGTCTATTTTGCTTGGTGCTTTCGTTTCTTGCATGTACCTGCAAAACAATCGCTTAAGCTCTATTTTTCATACTTCCCTATGGCATATTCAACTAACATATAGTGCATTACATAGTGTTGGTAATGTTCAAAGTACTTCTAACATTGTTAGCCTCTCCACTTTTTCTGGTATCATCTGTCATCCATGATACATATGCCACCGGTATTCCTGACACATACAAAATATGGGTGCTGTCGTGCCTTGTGGCATAGTTGCTTTCAGCAATTTTTATTTCTTCTTTCTCTTTAATAAATTCAGTTTGCTAGCGTTCATGAGCTAGTGAATACCTTGTTTTCCTTTGTTAGAAAAATGTTTTTTTTTTCCTACTCTGTAATGTCCCAAAATTTAAAGTTTTCTAAATAGGAATCCATTTCATTTGTTTGAACCTTTCCTTGCTTTTGACACAGCATCAGACCTTTTTTTGTTGGTTTCTTAATGGGAGGATTTTGAAGGATTCTAGAGTTTTGACTTTCAATGCAATGGTATGGGAATTGATGAATAGTTGTTTCCCAAACTTAATTTGAAATTTTGGTGCCTAAGGCATGTGAATTTGTCTGCCCTCTAGGCTTTTCCTTCTGGTAACTTGTGAAATTTGTAATTTGTTTCTCTAGGAATGTTACTAACTGTTGGCAATAGATATTCAAATTACAATTATGAATACTGGAAATTCCACATGGTCGTGTGTCTTGAAATCATGAAATATTGCGATTGAAATAGAAGATTCTTCATCCCACAAACATTGGAAAAGGTCCACGATCTGCATTCTGTCTTGTTGAAATAGAAGATTCTTCATCCCATAAACATTGCAATTGAAATAGAAGATTCTTCATCCCATAAACATGGTAAAAGGTCCACAATCTGCATTGGATGAAAAGCTAGGAGAAAATCATATGCATTCCCAAGTCTTGGTTAACTTCCGACGTAATGGTAGTGGCATAAAAGCAATACAGAGTGGAAAGTACTTGGAGGTGTTTTCACTATGAAATATGAGAATCTTCTTCTCAATGGAGACGTAAGTTGAGATTTTTGCTAATATCAAAGACTTGTGTAATGGAATTCGAAGCCTTGACTTTTTGTGGTGTTTGCCTTTTCCTCTGTGTGTGTGACGTTTATTGTATTTCTTGTGCTAATGTTCATCATTAGTGGATAAGATAAAATGGCTTAGAGGAAGTCATAGTCCTACATGAACGACTCATATTCACTTGTAATGATTCTCTGAGTTTGTCATGTTGTAAATGTACACTAGTTTATATAGCTTTCTAAATTAGCTGATGTGTTCATAAAACCATTGTTTAGGAAAATTTGTAATAAAAGACTAACAATTTAGAACATAATTATTAGTGCCAATCATTTAGAGACCTGTTCTAGAGTGTTACCTCCCAGTTGTATAAAAATTGATGCTCTCATTTTTAAAAACCATAAAAATGAATGTTTGCTCCAACAATGAACACAAAGTTTCCATATGGTGCCCTAAACTGATCCAAATGAATGACCGCTCCAATGGTGAACAAATACCAAATGGATATTAGATCTAGGTTTTTAAGAGCTCAAACCATTTTCCAGATTATCAATTGTTTATCTTTTAATTACAAAATATTTTACAAACTTTCAGATAGGGTGTTTACCTGTTGGAGAAAGTCTGCAATTTACCACTGCTGTAGTGCGCCTATGCACATGGAACTTCCCTTCGGAAACCACGAAGAAATTTGTAGCGAATCTTTTAAGAAATCCCATGTAATTGACCAAAATTATTCTCTCCATTTAGCTGCATTACTGTTATCTAACCTCCCAGTGCTTCTAATACCACTTTTAACCAATCCAAAGCTCGATTATACCAAAGAACAGGAGGTGTGCTATAGTGGAATTTGCAGTTGAAGTCTCCTTCAGCTACTTTCTAGTCTCTTGATCCTTATTATAAATTCCTCTTAAGTTTCCATTAATTCAATGGTTTTATTAATGGATATCTGCTATTTGCTTGAGTCGACATAACTTATTACTACTAGATTTTTCGAAACATTAACTTTGTGCAACTTGAAATTTTGCAGGGATTTGGTACTTAAAATTAATGGAGACTTATGTTAACCTAGCCTTTTCTTTTTGCTTAGTTTTTTTTCTCTGTTTTGTTGGTTGAATTCTCCTTTTGAAGTTTCTATGGTTTCTTTTAAAAATAAATATTGACTCGATACAGTTCCTTCTGTGAGCCCGAGTTCTCTCATTTAGTGTTAAAATTGGGTATAAGTTCACGAGGTAGAATCATTTTCTTCATTAAGGTTTAGACTTAGGGACACAAAGCTAGATTACCCTCTTGTAACCTCTAATTGTTATGAGTGGTATCCTGTCCTGTGGTTTGCTTGTTTTATAATTTTTCAGTATTGCGACTTGCAAGCCATATATAGCAGACAATATATGCGTATTTTCTTTATTTTTGAGTTGCTACAGGTCCTGTTTCGATCGATTCCCTCAGCTTGTGTGTGTTTCTGTGTGTGTGTATGAGAGAGAGAGAGAGAGATTTGGTCTGGCGTGCAGCATACTATTCGAGAGATTTGGGGTGGCATGCAACAGTAGACTAGGTATTGTTTATTAGGCACCCTTCAACAAGTAGCTTGAACTTTGAAACTGGCCTACGGAGTCCTGAATTTGTGCTAAAAATTGACTGAAATTTATACAGAAACTGAAATATTTCGAATTTTAAAGAATATAATAGCCCTAATGACAGTTGAAAACACAATCATGATTGTAACGTCCCTCGTGACCATGGAAATTCCATTGTCATGACTACTATGGTATTACTTTCTTGGGGAAATGCATGATATGTATGACTGTTATGTATGTTGTGGTGTATGGTACAACCCTAGGACACTCACCGTCTCATTCCAATGACTGATGGTTGAGATGAACTTCTGACGGCAGAAATCCCCCTTGGGTACAACTAATCTCCACCTTCCACACTGCGAATCGACTGCAATGCCCCCGAGGTGTACCATATATCAGATATCATAGAACAGAGGTTTGGACCATGCCCCTAAGACTATTCTTACTATTACTATTATGGAGTTAGGGAAAAGGAATTCTTTTTTTCTCCCCCAGCTATTAAGAAATAATCATATTATTTAGAGGTTGTTTTCTACAGATGTGGGGTTCAAAAGTAGTTGCTGTAGTGGACCAGCACAGGTAGTGTAGAAAATAGTGTAATCCTATTTAGTGGTCCACCCAAGCATACGCCCTTACAGTATTTATTGCATTTTGTCTCCATCTTTTTGGGCAAAATTTGGTTGAAATCTGTCCAGCTTTCCAACAGTAACAGTAGTAAAAACCCAAAAAGTATGGAATAAATAATAGAAATCACAAGAGTTTCAAGGTAATTCTATAAAGATTCCCCTCAAAATTTGACTCTTTTGATCCCAATAACAATTAAGGCCATGCAGGCCCATGGCAATTATTGAACTCCCAGTTCCATATTTAGTGCCAAGTCCTAGGTTCTAATACAGGTTACTGCCAAGGGTAAGGTAAAAGCCCAATTTGGAAGCCCAATGGGCTCAGCACAGAAGTGGAGATAGAACTAGAGCTTAAACCCAAGCTCATCTCTATTCGTTGTGAGCTATAAGGCAAGAACAACGAAAATCGCCAAAATGGTAAAATTTTTATCAGTTAATAGACTAAATAATTAAGAGTGTTTATATACTTCAGGAGGAAAAATACTTGAGTTATTTAAAAATTATATTATTTTCAAAAGCTTTATTTTTGAAAGATATCTTTTTATGTGTTTAGCATGTGTAGCAAGCTTCTACTTACTTCCTCAAGCAAACGAGCCTTTGGGTGATTTTTTGATCCATTTAAGTATAACTAAATGATTATTTAAAAAGAAAAAAAAACTGAGTTCTTTAGCACCTTGATCTTAATTGTTCAAATGGTCCTTGTTCAATCTTGGAATGTTATTTTCTTCAGGCCATTTGAATTTAATTTTTCGACACTCGTCACTAAGTTTAAGGTGTAAAGTCTTAAAATTTTGGCTTGGGTTAGTCATGAAGTCCAATAATTTTTTTTGGGAATTTTGTATCTATTTAATGATGCACTTACATCCACTCATTTTAAAATTTAAGGGACAAAAATGGTTATGATCTCCATGTACAAAAGATAGATAAATGATCGTTTTTATAGACACTCCCCTCCATAAATACTTAGGGCAGAGATGGACATTATGTTCCTCCCATGGGGCCAATAAATCATTTTGCTTTTGTCTTGTCCTAGAGTCAAATGAGTGTTTGTGAGGAGAGAGGACCTATACAGAGTCTGTGGTCACTTGTGTGTTTGAAGTGCACTTCGTATGTTTGCATCGGTGTCTTTGGCCTACGTAAAAATGAACCTATATGGCTATTGAGAAAATACTTTTGTGGTTTCCATTCCCATTAACCCCAACCCGCTAACACCTTCATAAAGCTATTCTTAAACTATTTGAAAAAACAGGTAGGGGCTGTAATCCCGACAGATTTACCCAAAAAAAAATAAAAAAAAACAGTGTTTTGGTTGTTAGCATTTCAAGTATGCGACTCACATGAGGAGCGACACAGGCGTGTGGGAGCTTAAGGTGCATTTTGCATTTCGTACACTCGCATCGGTGCAGAGGCACCTATAGTCAATCAGTGGACGTATTTATTTACGTTTTGCGTATGTTTTAAGTGTGGCTAACACAGTTGGGCCAGGCTACTGCTCTAGAGCAACGTGATCTTTGGCTTTAGATAAGGCGAAGGTTAACCACACTTAGTGCAACACGCATGAGACCGAGTTTTAAGATGCAGGTGGAGTTGATTGTGGTTAGGATCATGTGCCCTTTGGGGAAAAAAGCGGTATTTTGAAAATTTTGGATCTCGAAATCGCCTTTCTAACAAAAAATTTTTTTTCCTTTTTTTATCTTTTCTGGTTTTTGATATGTTAACTATTGGAATAGAGGATGAGACATTATTGAGACATCCGGTCCCTTAACCACTATGCCCTAACCCCAACCTTAAAAAAAAAAAAAAAAAAAAGCTAAAATAAAATTCCGTTGCATCTTCAAATTGGTTTTTAATTTGAGCAAAAAAAGTTAAGTTTAAGATATCGACCAATGTAAAACTAAGTTGAAAGAAAAACGTGGAAAATTTTAGACCTAAATGATGAAATGTATAAAATGGAAGGTGTGGTTTGTATAAGGCTGAGGCCCTGAACAATCAAGGTAAGGTGCATATTCAAATCATGTTAAAAGATGTTATTTTAGTACTGAAAATCTTTGTGATGGTTCAAAACTTTATTTTCATGTCCAATTATAGAATTTCAAGTTTAAAAAATAATGTAGATCGAACAGATCTATGAACACTTGATAATCTCGAAATTTGATAGTCCAAAAAATCACATTACAAGACGCACTATTTTCAAATTTGAAATCTAATTTTTTCATGTCCATATATATATCTAGAGGCCAAGATGATAAATTGTGCGTTTTCAACATATCGAAATAATCTCTTATAGTGAAATCTTGAGGTGCGCTTTAATTTGATTGTTTAGAGCCTCACCCTTATATAAATATTTTCCTTCTTTAATTCGAAAAAAAATATTTTGCAGCCCATAAACTCTTATTTTTCTTCTTTTTTGGCTTGTTAAATATGAAAGTTTTGAGGGTGGCTAAAAGCCAATAGGAGCATTCCTGATAAATGCCATGTGGTTTTAAGCGACGGCTTCTCCAATAAATGAAATGTTTTCATCTATCATCATATTAAAGCCCTGCCTTGTCATCCAAAACACTTGACGACATTCTAAAAAAACAACATTAACCACCAAAGCAACTCTTTCAATCATTTTTCCAACTGTCGTTTCCCTTTGTTATCATCCCATCAACAATGGCCGGCACCCCCTCTCTCTCTCTCTCTCTCTCTCTCTCTCTCTCACAGAGGTCAATTTTCCAATTCCTCTCTCTCTATTTCTCATTTCTCCAAGTGATCCAGTGTTGAGTGACTCAGGCGAGTCGACTTGGACTCGGCTAAGTTTCTTGGACTAAGCCCTGTTGTTGCTGACTCAAGTACTTGGATAAAATTTGGGGTCAGTATCCTCGGACTTAAGATTTGGTTGTGTACCTCAACCTCGCCCTATGGGTAAAGCGAGTTCGTGGTGAGTTAGGTGTAGATCTTGCCAGGCCCAAACATATGCAAGAAAATTTGTATAAAAAATTTAAAAAATAAGACACAATAGCATAATGGTTAGAAATACTTCTTTAGAAGACTTTATTAATTTTTAAGATTATTTGGGTGCTTTTGTTTATTTTTTTTAAATTATTCTAAAATATTTTATGTATAAATTCACTTCTTCAATAACCCATCTTTTATAGCTTTTTTCAATGCAATTTAGTCTCCTAATGATTCAAATAATCCTTTCAACTTTCTTTATTTTTAAAGATTTTTTACCCCTTTTTAAGCTTCTTTCACTGTTTTTGGGGAGTAACAAAATTGGATGAGTCCACTCGGCTCAGCCAAGGGCCAAGGACCAAGGACCTTGGCCAAGTCGATTTTCCCTACACTGCTCGGGGTTATATATAAAAAAAAAATCATAAAAACCATATAAAATTGTAAATAATTATATATGTAATTTTAATGTTCGTTTATGATAATTTTGAGTGTTTCTTGTCATATGCCCGATTTTATATTTGAGTGTGTATAGCATGCTCGTGCAGGAGCATACGGTACAGAAACTCCTTCAGGAAAAATGGTTTTTTGGAAGCACACTATTGGCTTGAAATTTTGGGAACTATCTAAGTATCACTAAACAACTATTTGCAAAGAAAAAAAAAAAAAGATCTATCTAAGTATCACTAAACTTCTTTCATTTATTTTATTTTTTTATTTTTACATTTTTTTATTTTTTATTTTTAAGGTGATTTCCAGTACATTACTCTGCGAGTCCCGAGTTACTCAGATTGGGCCGGGCTGAGTCCCAAGCCTGAGCCAAGTTCTTGAGCTTTGGATTTATCAGTAGACCAATCTCACTCTGCAAAAGATTCAGCTAAGCGCAACAAGGACCATCATAGAAAGGTTCTGGGTATTAATATAATACCATATTTAATACATAATTTTAATCTCTCTCTCACACACATACACATTTCCCATTTTTACAGTCATCTTCATTGCTAAGAGAAGATAGAGCCAAATCCAACAACAAAGGAGCCTCACATGCCAAATCTTTCCACAGAGCAAAAGGAAAAGAACCCATTCCAAATTCTTCCTCCATGGCTCAAACCCACCTCTCCTTATCACTCCCCCTTCTTCTAATCTCCATATTCTTCCCAACCTCTAATTCACAGGCCTACAATTCCAATGTTTGCTCCTTAAATTTTACAGTTTCCACTTTTGGAAATTCTCCAAATTGTGAAGGTGGAAATTGGGATGGTTTCTTGCCCAACAATTGTTGTTCAGGGCCATTAGAAGATTATCTCTTTGCCTTGGCTTTGAAATCAAACCAAACTAGTGGTAGAATATTTCCTCATCCAAGAGAGGAGAGAGCATGCCTCAACCTTCTGAAGGATTTGACTGGCATAGAAGCGGCGAATTGTGGGCTCCAAAGATTGGCATGGGGTGATGACAATTGCTCTGGTTTTACAGTTGAAGATGTTTGGAAGAATCTTGGAGCTCAGTTAGGCTCCTTGAGAGAGAATTGCAAGTTGACGAGAGAGAATAAGCTTTGCCCACTGTGCTTAAAGAGTTGGGATCAGATAGGGGAATTGGTTTCTATTGATGTGGGGTTGGTTAATAGTAGCAGTCATGTTTGCAAGTTTGCAGTTCTGGTTTCAATGGTAAGCACTAAAATTGAGGACTCTGAATGGATCTCGGGAGTTTTTGAATGCCTCTCTCAACAAAGTGATGTTCGAGGTACGTGAATCATCTCTTTCTCTCTTTGAGTTCATAAATTCAGATCGTTGGAGCAAATCTCTTCAAAATGTCTCTTAGCCTTCAATGCTGGACTCCGAGAGTTGAAATCCAGAGACCTAGATTGAATTTAACTATTTGGTTCCTGAATTTGAGGATATTGTAATGCTTTGAGTGAGATGGTATGCTTATTTTTGCAGTGGAAGTGAAAAGTAAGGACACAAAGGAGGACAAGGCATACAAAGGTAGAATCCCCCACCAAGAGTGCTGTTTTCTGATCTCCGTCTTCCTTTTTCTTTATTTTTTCGCCAAGAATTGGCAATCATTATGCAAAGATGGTCAAACGGTTTATGTGATCATTGTAATCGTCACATAACACAATGACTATAAAAATGCATTCCAAGATAAATTATGATGAATTGAGCATCACTAGGTGATCGAAAGCAGATGCTTTCCTGCTTCAGAGTAATGAGAGAGCGAGAGAGAGAGAGAGAGAGGAAACTGAAGAATTGCTGGTGAAAATACAGGGGTGTTAACAGCGATGGGGATCCTTATAGGGATATCAGTGGCAATTCTCTTCATGGGATACGTCTATCTCAAAAGAAAGAGGATACAGAGTACCCATAAAGAAACAGAAGGTACTTGCTTCATCTATTTCTCTCTTTAACCCAATTTCTCACTCATATAACCCATATAACCACTTTTCTCTCTCCTGCATCCAATTAGCTTTGGAAGAACTACCGCCTAAGGTGTCTACATGTAAAAAACTCTCAGTGAAAGAGGTATATGCAGCAACAAATGATCTCAGTGATCTGAACTTCATTGGTCAAGGGAGTGCTGGTTAGTGGTTCCTCTTGTTTCTCAACCTAATTTACATGGTGTTGGAGGGAATTTTTCTTTTTCTTTTGAAGGTCAGAGAGACATACAGTCTTTCTGATTCTTTGTGGCTACAAGTTGGATTTTTCCAAGGTTAATGGAATCTTTGTTTTCTACATCATGTTAAGAGAGGGAAATTCCGCTTCTTTTTTGAAAGTTGAGAGAGTGAATTATTTGTAATTCTTGATAGTTTACAGTGTTTGAAATGCTAGGAAAGGTGTACAAAGGTGTCCTCATGAATGGCACAAGAGTTGCAGTGAAGCACATTTTTAAGGAAGGACAGGGAGAAACCTTCGTGAGAGAAGTTACAAGTCTCTCGCATGTTAGGAACCCGAATCTTGTCGCTCTTTTGGGCTATTGTGAGGAAGAGGAAGAGTTCTTCCTCGTCTATGAGCTTTGTTGTAATGGAAGTCTCTCAGAGTGGCTCTTTGGTAATTCCTAAATTCTTTTGAGAATTGGTATGTTACTAGTTAGTCACTTAGTCTCTCAGTTTCCCAGTGTGGCTCTTTCATAATTCCTAAATCCTTTTGGTAATGATGGATCTTACCAGGCAAGGACAGAGTATTGTCATGGACACAGAGGCTGGAGATAGCAATAGATAGTGCTAGAGGGCTTTGGTTCCTCCATACATATCCAGAAGGATGCATTGTCCACCGCGATGTTAAGGTTGGCATTCTATATCTCCCCCCTTCCCCCCCACCCACCCCACCAAAAAAAAGGGGAAAAAAAAGAAAAAGAAAGAGCTGTTAACTAGCTCTGTTAAACTCCCAAATTCATAGCAGCATCCCTCTACTTTCTGGTATCAACCACATTAGGCTTATGAAAATAAAGCCCCTGTATTTCCTCTTCTTCTGTTCTCTCTCAGCTTTTCAGTCATTATTCAACCATGTTCCCTCTCTCTTCTGTTTTCTTTCTCATCTCAACCAAATCACTATTGCAAATAAATATACAGCCAACCTGGACCCCGTCCCCTCCCCCCTCTCATTTGTCTCTCTTCTTAATCTTTATATTGAGCATGGTTTTCGTAATGTCTCTCTTAATGAACCTTCAAAATGAACACCATCTTTATATATTTCACTATTTTCACCTCTACAGAACCTAGAAATTTATCATGGATCCCTATGATTTATTTCTGCTGAACATTCACTTAAGTCATGCTTAAATTTTGTGTCTCTACTGAACTTTTGATTCGATCATGTTTTCTGCTCCTTAACAAAGCCTGCCAACATCCTCCTAGGAGATGATTTTGAAGCCAAAGTCTCGGACTTTGGTCTTTCCAAATTGATAGACATTGGGCGATCACATGTGAGCTCTGAAGTGAGAGGAACACTGGGTTATGTGGACCCTGAATATCAGAGAAACCACCAAGTCAAAGCTTCAGGTGATGTGTATAGCTTTGGGGTCATGCTTCTCCAAATCCTTTCAGGGAAGAGAGCAATCAACCTGAAATTGAGAAGACCAATGCCTTTAGAGAGAATGGTAAGATATTAAATTCTTCTTGAGGGGGTTCTTGGATTCTTCTCTCTCTATTGAATTTGCAGCAGAAAGGAAGTTGGTTTTATTCCTGGTCCAAAGTTTCAGATTTTCAATTGGATTTAGGCTAGTTTTAAATGGATGATTTTGACCCAAATTTGATTAAGCTCAACTGAATGTTTGGAGGGTTCATCTCTTCCTTTTGAAATGGAGAGAGAGAGAGAGAGAGAGAGAGAGAGAGAGAGAGAGAGAGAGAGAGAGAGTGTAGTACGT